ATTATCGATAGTTTTTATAAAAATATTTACTACCTATCGATACCTTAGCCTAGTTTAAGATAATATCTATCGACAGTATCTGGTTTATTAAATTAATGCAATGCTATCAAGGGTAAAGCACAGTACAAACGTTTTGTAAATTAAGGGTGAATTTGATACAAACGAACAATGCACAAGTTATGCGCAAAAACGATAACGATTTTAGTACCTTAAAAAAAATCATAAGCACACACTCTTACTCACAATTTGCCACAAGCACACTGCATACGCAAAAAAAAATGTAAGCGTGAACTTACAACTTAATTCCTTCTTTCACATATAAATACATTAATTAATCGACGGTAAAGTCTTAATATTAATACTTCAAATATTACAATAACTCGTCTTCTATGCGTTCCTATACCATTCATCCGATTATCACAAAACTTTGGTGAGGTGAGTTATTTTGTGTGCGCGCCCGCGAAAATTTCTGAAAAGAATCGTCTAGTTTTAAAGTGCATGCGCCTCCCAAAGTGGTAAAATCTACCAAAAATTGTATTTTTGGTAGATTTTATCACTTTTATCATGTCAAATATAGTAATAATGCTAAAATTAAATAAAACAATAAAAAGGGAAAGCAGAATTAGATTTTATGATAGCTTATATGGTAAATGTGATAAATTTTACCAAAAATACAAGGATGTCACGTGCTGTTTTAAACTAGACGATCTCAACCAAACAAATTTAATTCCAATGGAAAGAACTAAGTATTGGAAACTTGCAAAACTTAGGTTGGCTATCTTTTTCTATTCATATTACCGGGTTGCACTCGTCTGCTTTCTCATTGAAATATATACTAAAAACTAAAATAAAGTTAATTTTATTGCAAGCACGGTAGTATAAGGTTTCTTTTGAAAAATCATTCATGAATTGCGGTTGGCAGGCTATGACATTTAAAAATAGGAGCAAGCAAAAATGTGCGACAGAGAAGCAACTGTCGGATGAAAAAGAGTGGCCATGCAGTTTTATCGTACGATTGAGAAAGACAACACTACTATACTACCGAAACTTGTTTTGATTATCTGTATATTTGGAAGTGCATGCTCCGTATGTTACGTAACGTTTATTTGGCAATAAATCGTTATAAAAATGTTTTATAGATTTTTGTGTAACTTAGCCGATTCTGATATCGATGTGGACGATAAAACTGTTTAATAAAGTTAGCTTTTCGCAAATAGAAAAACTTTAAATACATTGAAGTTCAGCAAGGCTAGCATGGGCAGGAGACAATTTTATCCCCGGGGAAAGGAGAAAATGTTTATCCCCTCGCTTAGTTTTATCCACCCTTAGAGCATGGGCACACCGGTGGATATAATATCCACAGTAGATAAATTGGGAGATAGACTTAAGACTTAGATAGATTTTTTGTATGAATATAAACTTCAACCCACGTCCAATGAACTAGGATAAAATTGTCCCTTTCAAATGTCAAAAAACATAAATTTATTATCTTTTATTTGGCTCCATGCTACGGACGGGGGATATATGTCTACTCGATATATGTCGGGAGAAGTATATCCCCGTTTGACATAACAAGATAATTTTATCTCTTGTCAGTGGATGTAATCGGGGGATAAAATTTTTGTCCCCCGCCCATGCTAGCCGGGCAGGTAAGCAATAAGTTACTTGTTGTTATCTCTCCTCGTACTTGTGTTAATAAAACGTGACTATTTTAAAGAAAATAATTTAATGATAGGAATTGAAGGAAACCCATCCGCGAATATTTGTCTACATAACATATACGTTTGATGAAAAATACTTTACATCCGGTAAGTAGATGTGTGAGAGATGATGTTAAGCCGGATCTTGTACCGTATTATTGATACATCCAATTACGATGAAACTTTTGTAAATAAATGCTGAGATAGTGTATACAAGAATCAAGGCTCCGACTTTAGAAGCTATTATTTATTCTCTTTAGTTCTTTGAAGATGGCTTTTATTTTTTAATAATAATTGATTTTTTTAACCCTTTTGAGTGGACTGAGTAATATCACAAGCTTGTGGTCCCAACAAGAAAGTTGTCAGCTATTTCCTCGGTTGTCTGATAATGTGTTCACCTCCTCGGCAATTCCCCAAGCTAAACAGAATATGCAATTGCAGGAAGAACAGGTATGTATCACAAACAAGGAGATTCTTAAAACCTTGCGGAATCTAGACGTGAATAAACATAGTGGACCAGATGGTATACCAAGTATAGTTCTAAAGGCTTGTGCACCTGAATTGTCTCTAGTGCTGACACGCTTGTTTTGCTTCTTATTTAGGACTGGATTGGTGCCAAAATCCTGGAAGCTGGTCAAAGTGCAGCCTGTTCCGAAAAAAGACAGCCGTGCCAACCCTGCCAATTATCGACCAATCTCATGTTTCCCTCTTGTTTTTTTGATATTTCGAAGGCCTCTGACAGAGTTCGGTACGCTAGACTTGTGTGTAAGCTTCCAGCGTACGTCTTATCCCCTGGCCTGATTGACTGGGTAAATGACTTTCTGAGTGAACGGTCTCACCCAGTCGTCGTCGATGCTTGCTTATCCAATCCTATGGCGACTAAAGCAGGTGTTCCTCAGAGGTCCGTACTCTTCGTAACTCTCTTCCTGCTGCATATTAATGATTTGCTTATGCCTGGTATCTATGGATATGCAGACGACAGTAGAGTTGTGGAGAAATATCAACCAAGTGTTCGGGCCAGTCGGGATCAAATCCAGTTCGAATGAGAAGCTATGGTTGAATCTTGTGAATTTCAATGCCTCCAAAACACAGGCATGTTTCTTCACCGCAAAAAGGAGCCAGCTCACCTTGGCTCCATCTTTCCGAAATTTAACACTAGAATACACTTTCAGTTGATAGAGATATCCTCAAACTTGAACTTCGGGCAGTTCATCAAGTCCAAGGGCAAAGCAGCTCCAAAGAAGCAAAGAGTCCTAGCAAAGTTGCGACGGTACTTCACGCCAGGACAGCTGATTATAAAGCTATATAAAGCAAGAGTCCGGTCGGACATAGAGTATTACTGCCATATCTGGGATGGTGCTGTAAAATGCCACCTACCAGCGTTGGATTCAATAGAAAGGCGTGCTAAGAGGGTTATTGGTAACACAAATCTGGTTAAAACCAATATTGCGCCTCGAATACAGGCGCAAAGTAGTCAGTTTTTTAGTTATTTACATGCTGTAGAAATCGGAATCCGCATTTCGGAGTGTGCGCAGGAATTGCATAACTTAATTCCTCTCTCTCCCTCCCACCATCGTGCAATCAGACATTCGGTCGGTCTCATTTTCGTTGTTGACTTACCACGCAATCGAACCAAATGGTTTGCTACATAGTTCTTCATGCGTACAGCAAAGGAGTGGAATAACTTGCCATTAACTGTTTTTCCATCAGATTACAATGGTGGGTCTTCGAGGCAAGATTGAATAGGCTTTTGTTAAGTCTGTCTTTACCATCATAGGCTACAACACCACTTATCATCAGATGGGATTGTAGTTAAGCACTTGCTTAGAATAGTAAAAACAAGAGCAATGAAGGATCCATAATTGTCCTGCTCCCCTACATGTGCTTACACTAATTGGGGGTCTAGGTCCAAACGATCCCACTGCATCTTGGTATGAGCGCCAATTTTTTTAAAGTATTTAAAATATGTTTACCTAATAGTAAATGGGATGCCTTGTTATCAGTAAAGGGGTCTCCTATTCTCGCACTCATTATACTAAACATAACAGTATTTACAGCGGTTTAACGCTTATATTCTATGAGAGTATGGTCCCCAGGTCCAACCGACTAGCAATTCGTGCTGCAACCGTTTTACCAATTGAAACGTGGAAGTCTGAAGCCTAAAACATTTACTCAATGCTGAGTTGTCCAAGATCCCAAAAAAAAAGATGTATTTGTTTTTTTTTTCTAAATTCATCTGAAAGCATCTTTAGTTTGAGGCGCAAGATATAATACAGTTGCGGAAACCCATTCAAATAGGAGATGCTTATATGTGTATTTGTTATGACGATGATTTACGAGTAGCATAGAACATATTATGTAATATTAATGTTTAGGTTCTATCAAATTAGATTAATGGTCTTTGCGTGTAATAGAAAAAGCTTACGATTAATACACGGCATTCGACTTTCGACTGTGTAGCTCAGGCCCAAGGCCTAAAATTACTGGAGCAATTCAAGTTCGATGTACGTCAGTACTACTACCTACAAATTGTAAGTGTGTAAGTATATAACACTCGCAAACTCGCAACTTTAAAAAAATAAAATGAAAAATAATCGAGGGCTTGTGAAATCTAATCGCACTGACTTCGACTATTTTCTGCTACTTACAATTATTTTTTTACCGTATTCGATCAAAAACAGAAAACTAAACTTATTGTGAAACATTTAGACGCAATACAGAATTTGTTTATATATAACATAATTTATATATTGTTAATTGTATTGCGAAACGCTAAAAATTAAAAAGATAACAAATTCGAAGTTTCAACACTATTCAATGAATTGCGGGCGTGCAGGTGAGAATGCGAGTAACGAAAGCATCAAGCGTCATGCAGACAGGCACAACAAGGATTGTCGCAAAATGTTCACAACTGACCGTGGACACAGATCCGGGAAATTTCACATACCGAAAATGCTTATTCTTCAATAGCTAAAAAATAAATACACCAAAATGTACATTCCACGGGTAAATAAAATTCATTGCGAAAATAAAATAAAACTTTATAATAGTAAAACTAAACATGCAAAAACACATAAATTACTTTGCAAATCTATACTGTTTGTGTTTTTAATGTTCTTTTTATAACCTGCCAGTATTTGTGGTGAATTTAAAATAGACGATATGTTACAGTTATACTTAAAATGTGTCACAGACAGGTAGTCTCTATTAGTGTACCGAAATAGACAAGTGATTTTAAAATAAAAAATCCTTAAATGTATTGGAAACGTATCAGCAAGATAAGTGTTATATGGTCCTCACCTGAACAGATCCATGCCTATCCGCGGGCGTCAGATGTCCTGTAGTCAAGGGCGTAGCTTTACCGCTATGGGGCCAATTGCCGCCCGTGTTAGCCGTTCCACCCGTACCAGCAGAGTCTTTTACAGCCCCCTGCAACGAAGCGAATAAAGCAATGCTGTAATAAAAGTGGCCAATGCCCAAGGCATGCAGTAAAATAACTTTACACACATAGCTGACGCATTAGCTCATAGAAACCAAAACAATGAAATATTAACATGTTCTGGATGAGCAACATTTTATGGAATCAATGAATAATCAAATAAACTTAAAATTCAATACATACACATGAATTAAAGAAACATAATGTCCTGTCTCTTCAGGTAATAAAATTATAAATTTAATAACAAAATATGACTTTCATGACACGCCACAAAGTGTAAACTTGTAACTTAAAAGATGTATGATTGTAAACATTTGTACCAATGTATTTTTTGAAAGTTCACCAAAGAACACACGATGTAACATAAATGCAGTAACGAATTTAGCGACTATGTGAATGCAACACTCGTCTCCAATTACTTTATACCTAGTCTCCTTTTTTTGATTGCACGCCTGAGCATAATACCATATGAAGCGACCAGCGTTTGAATATTTTCACAACAAAGAACACATCGAATTGAAGTTTAACCTAGCGCTGAAAACGGTGACCGAGGGTAGATGTCAAAATCTTAAGGCGTTATCCTAAAGGTGAAAACACATACTCGAGCCGCATCGCACGCACTGCAATCGCCGCATTTGAATTATTTGTATGAAGAACTATGCAACCTCTCACACCTATTCGTGCCGTGTTTGCCACAACACCCGAAGCAGCCGAATCCGCTAGCGGAAGGTGATTACGTCTCCAGCAGGCGCTGCCGGCCGTGGGACCATTTATGGCAGATTTTTTTTATATGATAGGGTGACAAACGAGCACACAGTCCACCTGATGATAAGTGGTTGCTGTGACCCATAGACATCTACATTTATCCTCAATAAAGAATCATAATGCAGATGCGTCGTCACCCGTGAGGACTAAGATGGAATGCCTCTTTTCCAGTAAAATTGCTCTCCGGTTCTCTACACTCACCATACGAAACACAGCAATATCAAGCTGCCATTTTACGCTGGTATTCTGTGAGAGCGTGGTCATTCCCCGGTCGAGCCGACCCATTTTTTTGATGACTGAAACGCGTGCGGTTCGGCCAAGTGTGCGTTAACTATAATAGAATGCGATTGCGCGATTATCGCTGGTTCGCGCGAACTTTATTCGTACGAACGAACAACATAATGATGAAAACTCCATAAAGATTTATGTTTCCGATAGATAGCTGTATAAGCAGAACCATGCCGTTTATAAATGATTGATGACTGTCTCATTGGTTTGTGGTCTTAAGCGCAACAGTTTGTGGTCGGGCTAAAATCAATTTTTCTGTTAAGAAATTCTTAGCTGCTACTAAGAGAACCCGGAGTCAAGAAGTTTTCGCCGTTTCACCTTCGTGCCTCGATAAGAACGTAAAGCCGTTAGTCCTGCGCCTGATTTCTCACCGGTTTTAACGGATTGTTGAAACATGAGTGAGGGAATAGAAAATGTACTTGTGTTTGCGAACACGTCGTCGACTAGAATCCAGTCCTGAGCAGATGGCTATTGAGACCGAAATTAGGTCTGAAGAATGTAAAATACCGGATGTAGCGCCTTACTTGGTAGAGCCACGCTGCAGCTATTGTCAATGGGTCGGCTCGAGTGGGTAAAGGACCACACTCTTACAGAATACAAGGGTAAAATAGCAGCTTAATACTGCTGTGTTTCGTATGGTGAGTGTAGAAAACCGGAGACCCCTTTTACTGAAAAAGAGGCATTCCATCATAGTTCTCAGGGGTGACAACGTATCTGCATTTTTATTCTTAATCGAAGATAAATGTAGATGTCTATGGATCATAGCATTATTAACAGTGTGCTCGTTTGTCACCCCATTCTATTAAAAAAAAGTCTAGTAGAGCGATTGTCAATCTACGAAATCCGCTTAAGAAGCGTAAAGATAAAGGCAAATCGTCCATACGGTGAATTGCCATGTCCAACAGCAGACTTTTATGGGCTGATGTAGATGACTCCGAAGAACCATAATATCAAAATACAGGGTATAATAAAATAAGGTAAAGGATATACCGCCATCTATTCGAGATTTGAGGGAAGGAGATCTTCCGGTACTTTAATTAATAACCGAGTTCAAAAAACAAAAGGGTTCTATATTTGTTTTTTTTTTAATGAATGTTCAGCATAAAGCAACACGGGCCATCGGCGGAGTAGCCATAGCGTTCCTCTCCGATACAGAACCTGTCTGTCATTTTTTGCAGTGGGAAATCTGCACACACAAAAAACGTCACTACGAAACTCAAACGTAACAAATATAATATATAAAACAAATATAAACGTACAATTTCACACACACATGGATACATTATAACAGTATCGCCCGGTGACAGCGACAACTCGGATCACTTGCTCGACCGATCTGCATATTGTATGAGGGTGACCGGCCTGTATTGGTAAACAAATCCGAAATAACACGACCGTTATTATTGCAATTTTTAAGTTTAAAAATAAGTAAATGACAATAATGTGATTAAAAATTACTTATATATAAAAAGTAATGCCATCTTTTTGTAAATTTGACGTGGCTGATTTCATATTGCAGAAAAATTTCAATAATTCAGCGTTGTTGTAGGACGTCGATTCAGCAACAATTCAGACGCGCAACTAGATTTAGTCTAGTGAGCAGTGCGGCTGCAACTAATTTTATTGTACACATAGGACCACAAAAGGGAAATACCTGCGTATAACTCTTCCCCTTTGTTAGGATGATGGTATATGTTGTTTTATGATGTTCAATGATGTCTCTCAAACGGCTGATTCGATTTAAATTATAAAATTATAAATGGGGGTGAAATATTTAATGTAACTATTAAACGACCTTCTGTTAGCTTGGACTTGTGATATACCTTAGACCCAGTGATGGCAAATAAAACATGTAAGCATTTCATATGTCCGAAAAATGACCTAACGCAAACTGAGCTGCGAGTAGGCGAGTCTTACTAATTGCGCTGCGAACAAGTTTAGATTGAATATCGTCACTATCACAATACCGACAAATTATAATTTGCATTGCACGTTATTACATAAAACGTCCCTGACGACGAATGACGAGCACAATAGCTTAATTAATTAACTAACTTAATTGAAACCAAAAACTACAAAATATAATAAAAAGTTAGTTAATCAGCGATGGAGTTTCAATGTGTGAGTTTGATTAAAATATAATATAATACCTTCAAGTAATACTTCGATGTTTTATTTGCTTTCACTGCTTAGACCACTCAAAAAGGTAAAATAATTCAACTTTTTAATAAAAAGTACAAACTGACAGCAAACTAAAAAAATGATAGGTTAAATTATCTTTTAGCACAGACTTTTAAAAATTATGTATGTGGATTTTTTTTAGTATTGCAATCAATTTGTATTATGTATAATATATAAACTTTTTTAATATACTACTCGCCACAGTGAGTGAAATTAATCTATATGTAAATCTTTATTTATGTTTACATTCAAATCATGAATTACAATGACAAACACCAAGATCGGAAATAATCATAGATATTTACGCAACTTGCTCCATTTAAACAACTAAGCGCTACTGAGCTATACGATGTTAAATGCTCTTTCAAAATGGTATCGAGTTAAAATGATCAACATTTACTTGGAATTTGTTCAAATCGACAACGGACAAGTTAATTCAAGACGAAAACACTAACGAAAGAAATGAAGTTTCGAAGCAAACCAAACGAAGTGAAATATGAATGTAATCTAACAGGAACATAAAAAGGAATGGTTTTATAATAGCAAAATCGGGCCAAACCTCTCCGCATATGAGGGCCGCCTCATCGTCCTCAACCAAACCAATTATATAATCACACAAATCATCCTGTACCGACAAAGAAAAAAGAATGTGACAAATAAATAAATATATGAGAAACACCCGCAGACATATATTGCATTTAATATTTCATTATTGGTTTATTGGATATGTCAAAAACTCAGAAACAGTCCACTGCTGGTCTTAGGCCTCACATAGAAAGGATTTTCTATGGTCTCTACGCGAGGCAGGCGGAATTATCAAGTCGCTTAGCCAACTAATGAGATAAAAATAGAGTTTGTTATTTTTTTTATATAGCAGAGGGGGCAAACGAAAGCTCACCTGATGGTAAGTAACTACCGCCGCCCAACATCTGCAACAATTGCAGATGTACATATTTGCAGATGCGTTGGCGGCCTTTTAAAAAAAGAGTAGGCTCTTTTCTTGAAGGTCCTTAAGTTGAGGTCTGTAACTATGATATCCACAGCAGAACAAGAATAACTGACATAGTCCAGCCAATCAGTGAGCTGAAGTGCCCATTGACTGGCTATATAGTTCCAAGAACTGGCAAACCATCGGGGAAAATTTTCGATATTGCATTTATTGAAAAAAAATAATAATTAATCAACATATTTAATGATCCCTAATTTTTGGTGCAAAATCAAGACTGATACTACAAAGGGTTAACGTGCTGTGCAGTATTATCTCGTGGGTGTCGCGAGAGGCGACAGACAGAAATTAAATAAGAGATGGGCAGCAGCATCTTCCTGATTACAATTTAAAATGACAAAAACTGCGGTTGCTAACACGCCTGCCCGATTATTGCCAAGCGTGGCAACTATGCAAATATCCCACATTTGAGGCAATCTATGGGGAGGCCTGTGGTTAGCAGTGAACTTTTGACAGGCTGTAGGCGATGAATGAAATATTAATTGACGTGTCTGAGAGCCTGCGTTTATTACGCCACACGTTGTATTAATTACTATAGACTACAATTATACCAGGTGAGACGCGTTACGGCATGACTAAATGTATAAAATTATTTTCGATAATATCGGTATCAGAAAACAGCATTACAATCACTTGATTATATGTATATTAAAGATAGAAATTAAAAGCAAAAATAAATTAAAAGAAATTAGAAACAAAATAAAAATCGATCCAATTCTTTTGGTTGGATCATCATAAAACTTTAACTCTATAACATATTTTTTTATTTACACTGACCTTGTGAAAGGGCTGGTGTCTGTCGCGGTTGGGCGAGACGACGATTTCGTGGCCTGTCTGAATGGAGCCCACCGGTGTAGACTGGAAACATGGAAACATTCGTTTAATTAATAACAATCGTATACTACTACTAAATATGAAAAACAATTGATAATGAATCATATTGCATTGGTTTAAAATCAATGACTATTTTCAATGAGCTACTGCTATATCAAATATGGGACAATTTAGTATCCGGTGTGTGTATTAATCAAACGACAAAATGATCCAATACTACTAGTACAAGATAGTCTATAGATTTTTATTATTTATTATACTTATAACAAAAAAGTACTTAAACCTAGTGTCTACATTTCTTTAACTTTTTTGTCTGTAATTCATTAAAGAAAACAATGGCACCATAACTATGGGAAGCTAAATCAAGTGAGTTCTAAAATAATCTAATTATATTTATATCTCATGCATGAATATATTATGTATATTTCAATTATGTAAAAAAAAAACATCAAATACAATCGCCACTAACCTTATCGGACTTATTTTTAACAATATTGGACGGCGGTGCGTTGCGTAAAACTCTCATCACATGCATATTGGCAGGCTGACGTCGGTACAAAAGCGGTAAACATGCGGCATGCAACACCCAACACGCATTAACGAAACAAATATTATCAAAAAAAACATAACACCTCACATTAGAGTTACCTAAAAGGCCGCTTATTTTGAAGCAATTTAAAAGGAAGTCTTGACGTTGGGAAAAAAATGAGTAACAGAGTAATAAAAAAAAAATATAAAATCTTAAAAAAATTAGAATAATCAGCATTTTTAAATTACTAATTTTACATCACGAACTACACAGAAACACAAATTTAATAAGAGATAATGTTTATTGACAAAAAGTTATAATAAATATTTATTATCTACTTTTATAAACGTAAACTAAGAAATTAAGAATATATTCAAAAGAAATCAAACGTAAATATTATATTTATTGCAATTATGGTGGATTATCGACGACAATTTTCAGCTAAGAAAAAGGAAATAGTTATACTATGTTGTATATTAATGTTCTCAATAAATATATATTTTTTCTTAATAAAGAACGAAAAAAGTTGATTATGTTCATGTCAGCATTTTTAGCTTACCAGGAGTGGTTAAAGGGAATGTTAGTAATGTCGTAATAGTAGGTATAGCTAGTATCTTTTAAACAAAACAAATGTAATATACACATATATACAGTACATTAAGTGTTTATAGTTTTGGATTAGCTTCTAGATATTATTACAAAAATATAGCAACCAATGAACTGAAGCTGAATGTCAAAAATAAAAATTGTGCGATTCAATGATTAATAGTGTTTTATTATTAGCAGAGTACACATAACATAACATACAAAAGAGTTATTGTGCTGCTATGTACTTATCTTTTTTTGTTAATTTTATACTATTTTACTATTTCAATGAGAACGTCATGACTAGAATATTTTTTTACAAAAATACAAATTTTATCTATATAACAGAAAATTCAATGCAAAAATAATATTCTGTTTGCGGATTTCCAAACGAAATTTTTAAGACATTACATTTAGATATTAACATCAGGTGGAGTCAGTCTGTAAGCGATTTGCATATTGAGTTGTTTGAAATAACAATCAGGAAATAAAGCCAGTAGTGGCCATGAAACGGAAGTAAGCATGTACAACAACACAATAAATGAGTCTATAGTTTTAAGGTATAGTGGTATATGTCGCTGCTTGCTGCTTTAAAGTGAACGCACACGGTCCGAGCTGAACGCGTCGAATGAAACCTCGCACACCTGCCCGCGTCGAATCGTCCGAATCTGGAAGAACCCCAGAAATCCTAGACGAATTTCAGATTCGACGCGGGCATTGCGGTCGAATCGAATCATCCGACAAGCTCGCATTCTAACAGTTGCGTGCGACAGAGCAACGTGCGAGTACTAATTATTTCTTTTATTAAATGAGTGATTCTAATTTTATTGAATTAGTACTTTCTTCATTTTCCAATAATAAAGCACTGACAATAAAAACCTCAAGATCCATCAAATTACAGTGCGACAGGTGGTAAGGATTTTTTTCGGCGCGTTCCATTTTTTCGGTGCGAATATTTCGGTGGGGTCGATTATTTCGGTGCGGATATATGTGCGAGGCCTCCTTGACTTCGATTCGTTCGATGCGTTCGGCTCGGATAATTATGCGTTCACCTTAAATCAGCCACTTGGTTGGATAAAACGTTTGTCGTATCCCTACATTCAACCAAATGCTAAATTTTTGTTAAATTACAATGACGCTTACAATATTCTATATTTAGGCCTGTAGTCAGTCTAAATATTGAATATTGTTGATGTCATTGTACCTTAGATGAGAAGTCAAGTCGATCAAATTTAATTTATTTTTGCTGATGTGAAGCAAAAGAGAATTTTGTAAATTTTTGTAAGATGGCGTCAATAGCAGATGTAATATTACTTGAACTGAAACTTCCCCCAAACTCGTGTTCACTCTGCAAACCTGTTAGACTTACAGTTTAAGCCCGATGTATAAACACTAGACCTTACTTTTGTTAAACCTATGGTTAAGTATTGTTTAGGCATTCCTCTCAATTTCTAATGCAAACAATCAAATAACTAAACCATCGGGCTACGACATACTGATTCAGCCTCTAGCTGTGTTGAACCTACAATATTCTAAGCATCCTGAATTTAAGTTCATTTAACGCTATTTAGTTGATAATTTCACCACATTGAAAATTTTTATGAATCTTTTATCGGAGTAACATTTGAATTGCAGTGACTTTATGATGGTAAAGCATATTATCATATCATCATAAAAATTGCATATTATGAAAGCGAGACCATCAACATCTTGTTTTTATTATTAGCTAATAATAATCTATTTGCTTGTAACTTCCAACTACAGTCACATACACATTCTAATAAATTTTTAACAAATGAAACATTCGAGAAAGATCTATAAAATTTGTAAAAAATATCACATCTTACTGATCACTGAATGTGACTTAACGCTTTCGCTTAACGCTTCGCTACACGATGTTACAGTAAAATTTATTTTCCGGTCAAAACTACTTTTAACAAACGAAAAAAGTGCTTTGGCCCTACTTAGGCCACCTTTAAGCCGCATCATATCAGCGACAGTAGGTTAAGATGCTCGGAAATTTAGCAAATTCTGTTTGACTTATGAAAAAACTGCTAGATTGGCCTAAGAAAAACTACTTTATCCTAAAACCGTATGGCAAACACTTTTTTTTATTAAATACCGTTATTTGCAGGTGATTTTAACTATCCGTCTTAGTCAAAACTAGTTTTAACCGACATTTTTGAAAAAACCTTTATTAACCGATATTTCTTCAGTCAAAACTACTTTAGACCACACTCGTCGATTAAAAGTAGTTTATCACATATAGTGAATTTAGTTGTGAAAGACGACGGTCTTATCCAGTATCTGGCCTATATGGTCAATTTTATTAATTTATTTTGTTAAATATATGCATAATTATATATGAGCCGTTTTAACAAAGATATTACAAAAGTTACATGATATAGTTATCATAAATCTAAAGTTTTTTGAGGCGCTGATCTTTTTACAATGAAGCGTAAAACTAAATCCCAAAGCACTTTTCTACCTCAACTTTTAGTGAATATCGCACTGTCAATAAATTAGCTGTTTAGTCGTTAAAATTAACTAGGCTCAGAACTTACTACAGACACTCAGCGGCATCCTTGTCGGACATCTTTGGCATTTAAAAATGTCCGACAAGTATGTACAGTATTTGGTAGCATCACTAAGTTAAAGCGTAATGTGAGATACGAAAATAAACTGATTTCGGTAAAGCTAAAATTAATTTGGCAAATGTACGAAGCATACTAGTCGAAAACTTGTGAGGAATGCACAAATCGAAAGCTTTTGTGTTCATGACAAATTTCACAGCACAAAGCAAGCGTGAACTATTTTCAAAAAATAAATATTATGTTCCTTCATCGTGAGTGATCATTTTGCCGGTAATATAGAACCATGAAGCATACTTTTATTGCTTTTTATTAATTTTTGATTATTATCATCACTATGGTATAACATCAATGGTATGTATTTAGTCCATACATAAATAATTCATACATATACCCATTTTCAAATTTCATAAGGTACGATTTTATTTATTTAAATAAATAATTTTAATAACAAATTAATTTAAGGTTTTATAACATGGATTTAATTAATGACTTGAAACAATTTTGTTATATTGAAATAAGAAATCATTTACAAAGTATTTACAAAATGAATTAAAAGCAATTGTTTTACGTATAATGAAAAATTTAAACAAAAAGGAACAATATTTTTCGAAAAAAATGCCTAAAATTAACTAAAAACCATATAGATTGCATGTAGTACACATGCCAATGTTTTATTTAGAATCGAAACCTTAGTGCTAACTCTCTGTCAATTCTATTAAAACTCATTAAATACACTACAATTATCAAATGGATTTCACAATTGGAGATGCACGCACCGTAGTAAGATAAAAATGGTAAAATAAATTTTTATGAAAAAATAAGTTAAAGGAGAATTTTAGGGAAAAATGGTAGCGTTATGCAGTCGTTTGTTTTATTTTTTATTTATTCATAAAATCAAGTGAGTCATTGTAAGTTATAAGTACAGTGAAGTGCATAAGTTAAATAAATTGAAAAGAGCGCGTAACGTGTTGTCCACAAACACATGACTGTCAAGTAATAATTGTAATAACCCATCACATTTCAAAAATTATTAAAAAAAAAATCTCGTAGAAATTTAAATGGGACTAAGTAGGTAGGATTATCCCGGTAGGTAAAATAAAATTATATATCTCTATGTAATGCAATATGTATATAAATTACTATCTAATGAAATAACCTTCTTTTTGAAGTTGGCTAGTAAGATTTTGTCTGGACTTATTAGTTGTAAAAATATCCAAATTTTCACACTGGCAAATGTACGTACGGGTCGAAATTTAAGGAGGAAAGCGAGTGGGGTCGAGCATTCACTAGGCGGAGTTGTTTACCATCGTTTTGCCGGTCCAGTCGAACTCGCCGTCGTCGACGTAGCCGCGCCTCTCGAAAAGATCGCGGAACATACGTCTTAACTGGTCGTAATCGGGCGTTTCAAAGAAGTCCAGCCGGCGTACGTATCGTAAATACGTCGCCAGTTCCTCTGGGTGACCTTCACAAAGCACCTGCAAAGTAAGTTTATTGTCTGTTTATGTAGTTTAAATTTGCTACTTTTATACGCAAATATTCAAACGCTAGTCAATTTTAATTGACTATTATTCCCAAATATTCAAACGCTAGTCAATTTTAATTGACTATTATACGAAATATTCAAACTTTGCTCAATTTTAATATTGGGCTATTATAAACAAATATTCAAATGCTAGTCAATTTTAATATTTGGCTATTATAAACAAATATTCAAACGTTGCTCAATTTTAATATTGGGCTATTATAAACAAATATTCAAATGCTAGTCAATTTTAATATTGGGCTATTATAAACAAATATTCAAACGTTGCTCAATTTTAATATTGGGCTATTATAAACAAATATTCAAATGCTAGTCAATTTTAATATTGGGCTATTATAAACAAATATTCAAATGCTAGTCAATTTTAATATTTGGCTATTATAAACAAATATTCAAATGCTAGTCAATTTTAATATTTGGCTATTATAAACAAATATTCAAACGTTGCTCAATTTTAATATTGGGCTATTATAAACAAATATTCAAATGCTAGTCAATTTTAATATTGGGCTATTATAAACAAATATTCAAATGCTAGTCAATTTTAATATTTGGCTATTATAAACAAATATTCAAACGTTGCTCAATTTTAATATTGGGCTATTATAAGCAAATATTCAAATGCTAGTCAATTTTAATATTGGGCTATTATAAACAAATATTCAAACGTTGCTCAATTTTAATATTGGGCTATTATAAACAAATATTCAAATGCTAATCAATTTTAATATTGGGCTTTTATAAACAAATATTCAAATGCTAGTCAATTTTAATATTTGGCTATTATAAACAAATATTCAAACGTTGCTCAATTTTAATATTGGGCTATTATAAACAAATATTCAAATGCTAGTCAATTTTAATATTTGGCTATTATAAACAAATATTCAAATGCTAGTCAATTTTAATATTGGGCTATTATAAACAAATATTCAAATGCTAGTCAATTTTAATATTTGGCTATTATAAACAAATATTCAAACGTTGCTCAATTTTAATATTGGGCTATTATAAACAAATATTCAAATGCTAGTCAATTTTAATATTTGGCTATTATAAACAAATATTCAAACGTTGCTCAATTTTAATATTGGGCTATTATAAACAAATATACAAATGCTAGTCAATTTTAATATTGGGCTATTATAAACAAATATTCAAATGCTAGTCAATTTTAATATTTGGCTATTATAAACAAATATTCAAACGTTGCTCAATTTTAATATTGGGCTATTATAAACAAATATTCAAATGCTAGTCAATTTTAATATTTGGCTATTATAAACAAATATTCAAATGCTAGTCAATTTTAATATTGGGCTATTATAAACAAATATTCAAATGCTAGTCAATTTTAATATTTGGCTATTATAAACAAATATTCAAACGTTGCTCATTTTTAATATTGGGCTATTATAAACAAATATTCAAATGCTAGTCAATTTTAATATTTGGCTATTATACCCAAATATTCGTCAATTTCAATATTTGGTTGTTATACCCAAATTACTTACTTACTTACTTAAAATTGAGCAGCATATGATACTGCTCCATTTTAAGATGTCTTTAAGTGTCGTGGTGTCACACATGAGTTTGAGTATTTCGCCATTAGTGATTACAATACTTGGGCAATTTTCCATTTTAAGTGAAATTACTACTAGTAGTACTTAGTAGTAATTTCAGGCATCACAAGAACACTGCTGAACATAGGCCTCCCAAAGATTGCCACGAAGTACGGTCCTAAGCCACGCGCATCCATCGGCTGCCAGCGTGTTTCTTCACATTGTCACTCCATCTAGTGGGTGTCGCCCAACCCTGCGCTTACCAATACGAGGCTGCCACTAAAGAAACCTCTCTTTCCCTTCGGTGGTTGGTTCTTTAAGCAATATAGCAGGCCCACTTCGGTTTATTACTCTTGTTTTTCTGGGGATATCCTCGTCACAGACTAATTAAATTAGTTTTTTATTATTGAAAATATGCAAATAAGATTAGGTTTTGACTATTAAAAACTATTACGTCATTACATTGTATTCTTATACAAATTCTAAAAAAATGTTTGTGTTGGCTACTCTTAAAAAGTATTTCAAGTGACTAGAATATTAAATACTCAATTTCGGCATCAATATCTATTGTTCAAAAAATAACAATTTGAATATACATAATATGGTAATGATTGCATAAAAACTTGCGTACGCACCTCGATTGGTGTTGCCCGTTTGGTATCGCCGATTTTTTGGTATCGTTCTTTAAGTGTGTCTGCTTTTAAACCCTGCCAGGGTAAGGAACCACGTAAAAAATACATAAACATGTGCCCGAGAGCTTCTAGGTCGTCGCGTCTCGATTGCTCTGAAAAATTATTAAATATCTCAATAAAAATGCATTTAATACATGAGGTAGTAACTTTTTATATGTAATATTATTGATTTCAGTATATATATACAATTAAAAGTTAGCAATGAAGAAAAATAAAAAATGAGGATAGTTAAATTGCTAAAATGTTGACAATGCACTAATCTATCCTTTGTCTAAATTCACATTAAAAATTCTTAACCCCAAAGTTTCTTTATTTTATAATAATCTTAGGATTGTTTCAATCATCGGATAAAAGTTATTTGTAGGTTAAAATACAACACAAACCATTAAAAATATAATTGTATTAATAAATTAGTTTAATTGTTAATTTTATAATCATTCAGGTTATAATTGATTGGATGAGTAACTTTTATCTGATCATTGATCAGCTCTTAGTGAAATGAAAATTCAATTTGTTTAATTTTTCCTATTTGACCAATTCTTAATTAGTTGCTACATGATAATATGGTGCAACAGAGCGAACATTAAGATTCAGTGCATTCTCCAAGAATCTAAACTTATTGGAAAAAATATTAAAAGAATTACCTTTGCCTAAATGTGTGTTTATTGACATGTATCTGGCAGTCCCGGTGAGCGACTTGTGCTCCCGATATGGGATATGTTTGTTTGTCTCTAAGTCTATATATTCTTTGGCCAAACCGAAATCTGGAAACAAAACACAGGAATTAATTGAATTCATAAGACACTTAACTGCTTTTTTCCGAGGCTCCATTACCGTTACCATTTCAGCCTACAAAAGTCCACTACTGAACATAGGCCTCCCAATTGTCCCACAGGGGAGATATTTGCTATAGTTGCCATGCTTCGCAAGCGGGTTGGCAACCGCAGTTTTTTATTTTTAGTCGTTATTGGGTAGACGCTCTTGCCCATCTCCTAATTTGTTTCCCTCTGTCGCCTCTTACGACACAATATATACTATGATATGGGGTAGTAAATATTCTTACACCGTCACTACACGGTAATGGCTCCATTAATTACACTAAAATTACATTCTGAACCGGTCTAACGAACGTGAGTAAAAATCGACGTCGCCACCTAAAAGTCCAACGGTTTGAGGTTTATTTGCTGGTAAATGAATTTGTTATCGCTACTCATAACAGGTGAATTGACTATATACTAACATCATTAGCATCAACGTTTAAGGTTGGTTTTTAGATATATACTCACACGATATCTTTTTTTTTTTTAATTAGAATGAAGTGACAAATGAGTTGGCCGTCTATCTGATGGTAAGCGGCTACTGCAGACCATGGATACCTTCAACCAACTTCAAACAAAAAGAAAACTACAGATGTGTTGTCACCTCCGAGGACTAAGATGGAATGCTTCATAATCTGTAAATATAGTGGTTCTTTATATCATTAAGACTTGAACACAGCAGTTCCACGCACTACTGTTAGGCGGCAGAAATAAGTAAGATAGTGGTATCTGCCCACACGGACATACAAAACACATCATTCTGAACGTGATCCTACCCTGATTGCACCGGCCCATTAGTCTTGTAACTTTAATGTGTTGCAATGTGTCTCTACTACGCAGAGAGCAGTAGAAGGTAAGCTTTTCTAGCAAACTATTTCAGTTTGTGACGCGCTTGACTAGTAGAGAATGCCTCAAGGCATTAAGTCCGCCCCTTGTATTTTTTTGTCTAAAGAATGCAATACAGAATAAATAAATAAATACAGCGTTAAATGAGTGATGTGTTTGATACTGCCGTTGCCAAATTGCCCGAGGTGACGAAAAAGATTAATTCTCCACTGAATTCCAGAACCCTATTTCCAGAAGTGAAAGTGTGTATCAACTGGTACAAGTGTATGAACTGGCACAAGTGTAATAATTGATCTAAATCAGATTGAACCCCTTGGGATCGAAATCGGTTTCCAAGGGGTCGACATAAACGAAAACTGATTTTGGGGGTCGACGAGGTCTAAAAATTGACCCCTATTAATTTTATTAATTACACTTTACCTACTGAATTTTATGTCTATTTATTTTGTTACATTTTGATGAGAAAATGATGTCAACTTTACTGACTAAACCAACCGCAAAGTTTTTAAATTGGTAATTATTTTGTATCAATATGAAAAAAAAATGGATTTCTAAAGTAATTGGGTCTCTTGCCCAAAATAGTTTGGGAATCCCTGGTCTAAATCAAATAAATGTATGTTCCTCAATATTATATTCGTCAATAAAAAAATCACGATAATTATGGCTTATAAAAATATTATTATCGATTGTGAAAAGATTACGAACTCGTTTGGTAATTTTTTTTGTAGTGGTCACACAAAACTAATGATATACTTAAAGAATTATGAATGTATGTATTTTCTCTAATGAGTGTTTTCTCATGATATTAATGTTAATCATATCATGTAATATTTGTATATTTCATGATTTCGGCTAATTAATCGATGTTACGATATACGGAAAACAGTGTTAGATGATAATTCAATTATGATATTACATCGATTGACTATATAGGACTTCCCGAGGGCACCGCACGTAATTAAGAAAAATATGTAATAAGCAAATGCATGATTGGCTAATACGAACCACGAACGAATATTAAAATAAAAGCCGACCAAGTACGAGTCGGACTCGCGCATGAAGGGTTCCGTACCATCGTAAAACACATTTCTAGTAGGGAAGCCCCCTTTAATTTTTAATTTATTTTTATTAGTTGTAGCCGCAACAGAAATACACATTCTGTGAAAATTTCAACGGTCTACCTATTACGGATCATGAGATACAGCCCGCTGACAGACAGACCGACGGACAGCGGAGGCTTAGTAATAGGGTGCCGTTGGTTACCCTTTGGGTACGGAACCCTAAAAACTGGATAAAAAGTAACAGTAGGCCTACTTATACTATCAATCGAGGCGTTGCTTGTGTATGGAAAACGCATCGAGCAGATTATGCAGACTAAGCTTTAACTATGTTATCATTGTAGCATAATAAGTCGGCTCGACCGGGGTAGGACCACGCTCTCACAGAATTTTTTTTTTTTATAGGATAGGGTGACAAACGAGCACACAGTCCACCTGATGGTAAGTGGCCACTGCGACCCATAGACATCTACATCTATCCTCAATAAAGACTCAAGATGCAGATGCGTTGTCACCCATGAGGACTAAGATGGAATGCCTCTTTGCCAGTAAAAAGGGTCTCCGGTTCTCTACACTCACCATACGAAACACAGCAGCGTTAAGCTGCTATTTTACGCTGGTTTTCTGTGAGAGCGTGGTCCTTCCCCGGTCGAGCCGACCCATTCGTGCTACAACTATACCACTAATATAGCTGCAGCATGGCTCTTCCACGTATAAAATAGTATAAAATAGAATACCAGCGTAAAATAGCAGCTTAATGAGTGTTTCGTATGATGAGTGTAGAGAACCACAAACCCTTTTTACAGGAAGCGAGATATTCCATCTTAGTCCTCAGGGGTGGCAACGCATCTGCATTTTGATTCCTAATCGAAGATAAATGTAGATGTTTATGAGCCACACCACAGCATTCACTTACCATCAGGTGCACTGTGTGCTCGTTTGTCATCCTTATTCCATTTAAAAAAATTGTGTGCAACAAAGTTTTATGAACGAAGCTTTTCTCTTTAACTGTAATAACTTTGTTAAAAGAGGTAAGCGATATGTTTACTTTCGGAGTCATCGCAAACTATGGTATTTGATACATTAAAATATAAAAACATTTTAATCGATGTAGACTCAGCGTATAATTCGCGCAACAGTAGGCTTTATAATGCTTGCATGTAGCGACGCAACCGTGACGCAGACATGCCGACACAGAATCGCATTTTTTTTTTATTGCACACAGCAAAAAGGTATATACAGCTGTATACAACTGTATTTTTTAATTTGTTTATGTTGTTTTCAACCGTGTAGTGGTGGTGTAAGAATATCCACTGCCCTATATCATCCCGTGGGTGTCGTAAGATGCGACAGAGGGAAACAAATCAGGAGATGGGCCGCAGCATCTTCCTAATAACGACTAAATATAAAACTGCAGTTGCATACCCGCTAGGCAAGCGTGGCAACTATGACAAATATCCACTCCATTAGGCAATGTATGGGGGAGGCTTGTTTTTTTTTTATAGGATAGGGTGACAAACGAGCACACGGTCCACCTGATGGTAAGTGGTTGCTGTGACCCATAGACATCTACATCCATCCTCAATAAAGAATCAAAATGCAGATGCGTCGTCACCCGTGAGGACTAAGATGGAATGCCTCTTTTCCAGTAAAAATTCGTGCTACAACTATACTACTAATATAGCTGCAGATCTACCACGTATAAAATGTTCAGCAGTGGACTTTAGTAAGCTGTAATAGTTGTATTTTACACTATGAATAACTTTTATATGAAGCTTACAAAATCAGCGCTTAGTGAAAATATGAAAATGCTGTTTAGTAGGTAAGTTGTTAACTACATTAGTGTGGTGAAGATTATACGGTAAACTATTATTTATTCTGTGATACGGTGTTTGATTAAAACATTTCATTTCATCGAATTGAATGCTATTTGTGGCAAGAACAAACCATATCAATTTGTGCGTGTAATTCAAGTAGTTGTAGATTACCATTACGAGTTTTATGTAACAGAATTAAATCTGCTGTTTCTCAACGATGTTCTGACGATTTCATTTTAAAACATTTCACTCTCGAAGATTAGAATGAGAAACAGGAATAGGACTCGTCTTTATATGCATGATGTCGAGTAAAATGTTTTTGTATCATTTTTTATTCATTTCTATTGTGTTATCGGACCGTTACATTGGGTTCCAGACGAGTGAAGCGTATTCGAGCGTACTTCTTACGTATGCATTAAAAAGTATTATTAAAGGTATTAAATATGTTACGTGCGTATGTACAACAGAAGTTGACGGAAAATCCTTAACAGAGTTGGTAGTCTATTCTATTTGCTTCATACTATCTCTATGTCCATGAAATGTTAGTTTTAAAGTCTATTAAATATATAATGACTTGTAATACACCTACACGCTATATCTCTGTGAACTGAAGACCTAAAGGCAGTGTTGAGGGATTTTCCCCTAAATTTAGTGGATTTTACACGACTTGGTGGAAAATCTAGGGGAAACATTTTTTAGGGGATTTGTTCGGGGGATTTAGTCTATGAATGAGTCTATCTGGAAACACGGTAACAGAAAGTGATAAACAAGTGATTTTTTTTTTAATTTTGTATTAAAAATTTTAATATACCACGTTTTTTTTTCATATTCCTACATTGTCATTTGATTCTGATCTATGTTCAAAACATCAAGTCAAGTTAAATTTAAGTTGCAAGAATCCATCCGGAACGACAGACAGATATACAGACAGACAAACAAGAAAGTGACTTAACGGAAACGTGAAAAAATCAAAAGGTTTTCCAAGAAAAAATAACATGATGGTGTCTCTAGGTCAACCGTTAGCAGACAACTGTGAAAAAAATCGACATCTCCGATACTAAATCCCAGTTAAACAAAAGTTTTTTATCGTGTAAGTGCCACGCTGCACCTATTATAGTTGCAGCACAAATGGATCGACTCGACCGGGAAAGGACCATGCCTGTCACGGAATACTAGCATAAAATAGCAAATTAATGCTACTGTGTATTGCACAGTGAGTGTTGAG